TTCCTGATGGTTGAGAGTTTTTGTTGGGTTACTGTTTTTATTTTTATTTTTTAATCATAGGTTATACCCTGGCAGAACTAGGGGTGCAATGTAACCTTGTAATTGGCAATCACGAAACTCTGCCCTGCTTTCTAAAATGTCAACACTGTTCTCATCAAATGCCCTCAAGGTTGCCATAAAGTGGTGCTTCTGTGGGGATTTTTGAACACTGGTGAAGTTTTAGTTCCAAGTACAAAAATCAGCTTAGTTCCACATTTTTTATATATATGAGTTCCTGGTAAATATTCTCACTGAGCAAGTGTGTTGCTTTGCAGGGCTGAGGATGAAAAGCTGCAATTAATTTCTGAGCACAGGTGGAAATCCAGTCTTTGAAGGTTTCATTGCACTCAGATGACTGGAGTATTGGAAGGACCAGATTTGAAAATATCAGGCTCAAGACAGGGCAGTTTGTCAGAGCAGCCATGTGGGTAGCTGGAAGAGCTCCAGGGAACAGACTCAATTTGGGCTGTTAGCTGAGTAAGGCATGACTAATAAGATTTTTTAACAAAGCATTTTTAGAGTCTGTTGAAACCATTGATTTCCCTTCAAGAAAATTAAATATTAGCAAGTTTTTCCACTAATTCTAAAATAAAGATCATGGTCTCACACTTAGCTTGTGTGGTGGGAAACTCCCTACAGTTCACTTCAGAAACCTTTTTAGGATTTAATAATCATCAGTGAATTGAGCTACTTAGGTCATTAAGCATTCAGCTGTTTTACCATCTCAGTGTACAAATGAGTGCCTGCTTTTCATGTCATCTGGGGTTAGAATGTTGGAGAGAAGAACACTGAATTAGTTGGAAAATTAGCATAGATTGAATTACACTTTTGTGAGCTGTCAGTGATTTGGATGGGGAGGCCGGAAGTGTTTACTGGGGAATGAAGCAGTGTGGGGAGTGGGCATGGGCTTTAAATGCATGGGGGCAGCAAAGTGTTTTGGATAGTGGTACTTCTTGAGATGGAGGGCAGGTGGAATTTGTGGCATGGCATGAATAATACATGACATAATAATTTTTTTTCCTTTTCCTCTGGTGGCTTTTTGTTTGGGTGCTAAGCATAATGCAAAGGGCACAAACAGTGGCTTCCACTGAATGCAAGTGTGTTTCAGCAGGCTATTGATTAAGGTTGTAACGGTATTGCTTTACTTGGTTTAAGTTTAGCAGGTTGTGTATAGGATCAGGGGGAATGGTTTTAAATGGAAACCATAGATTTAGAGTAGATATAAGGGCTGGCTGCAACCAGCTTGGATATGGGAACCTTCAGCTTTTCTCAGCCCCAAATGTTACAAGGTATGGAAATTTAGGTTTGCTTGTGCTTATGAATGTCACAGCTCAAGGTGTGCTCTGTGTGTGGGATTTTGAACTCCCTCCCCTAATTTTTCCTCTTCTATTAGGATTTTAAGAGAATAAAGCACAATTTCATACGCTGGTGAAATATGAAAATTGGACGAGATAAATGAAAAAATACAAGTAATAGCATTGGTATCTGTACTGCAAAGCACAATGCCTATTTTGCCACTGAGGAGAGGGGGACGTAAGGGAGAAGTGTCAGTGTTGTAAAAATGTGACACTTCTCACAAATGGTTACTATTGGAGGAATTTATCTTGAGTACAGTGAGGCAGTAATATCTCCTAGGGGTTTTCAACCAATACTGGAGCCTTAACAAAAATATCTTTCTATCTGCTTCCTAGGCTTGATGTACCAGGTTCCTCCAGGCCATGGTGGCTCAGAGCACTGTCCTCTCTGACCAGGCACTTTGGAGCTCTTTGGAGCCACTCTGTCCCTTTGTGTCCAATGGATCTTGCCCAGGCGTTGGAATTGCATTGAAAAGCTGATTCGCTTTGAGCATAGGTAATTTTATTTCATCAACTTATTCAACTCCAGTGTTTGCCTGCACACAGGAGAGGAGTGTGGTCAGGACAGAGCAGGGTTTTGACCCTGAGGCTGCCTTTGGATGGGCAGGCATTGCCCCAGCAGGAAATGGTTGTGGTGCACTGCAGTGTGCCCTGGATCCTGCCTGCTTCTGCTGCTCAAGCTGTGTTTTGTCCAAGGACATCATGAAGGAGCTTCTTCACCTTAGTAAAGAAGTCTACCAGCTTGTTGAGTGGATATGGGCAGGAGCTAACCTCACCCAATGGTGTTGGTTCTGGAGTGGGGAGGGCTGTTGGCAAAGGCTTTTGAGAGGGGATTGGTGTCGGCCATGGCTTATGAGTGGGGGGTTGTGTTGGCCATGGCTTATGAGTGGGAGGTAGTGTTGGCCATGGGTTAGAAGTGGGAAGTGGTGTTGGCCATGGCTTATGAGTGGGAAGGGCTGTTGGCAATGGC